AGCCAAAGCAGGTGTTATATGCCACAATTTGCTTTATTGCTCTATCAAATGTTGTCATCTTTCATTCTTTTTTATGGACAAATTGATTAGAATCACTCATGTTTTAGATGATATGCTTCATTGTTTGAAAATGCCTTGGTTGCTTTGATTTGTATGCTACTGTGCAGGATATAGGCACAAAACAAGAAGAGTAAGACACAAGAACATTGACAAGGAAACCAAGACAGCATGAAAACATCATGAAGTTTGTCGTGCGAAGCTCCTAGCGAACTTCCCTAGAAAATTCATTAACAACTTCGCACAGCGAACTTGCCAGCGAAGACCCCTGGGAACTTGGTACTGTTCACTCAGAGGAGAAAGGGACCGAAACTTGTTGTGCGAACTTGTAGCGAGATAGTTCGCAGTGTGAAGAATTGCTCGCGCAACAAATTTCAGATATTTTTCAAGGACGATTTAACTGTTCAGAGGCACCTCAGGTGCCTAACTTGATGTTCGCTAGGCGAAGGATCTGTTTACAGTGCGAACATGGTAGATCCTGAATGTATTATATAAGTACTTTTCTTGCTTTTTAAAAATATTATGTTATTTTTTTTACATTAGAACTTTATCTCTCTTCATTTCAAGCTTATTTTAAAGAGAGAAATACAAACCCTAAGAGGGGAAAGGTAAGATCTTTGATCTCTTGTTGGGATTTGGATGTAATCTTTTGATACCTTATGTATTTCATCTAATATATGTTTATGAACTAGCTTTGATTCTCTATTGTTGATTATCTTCGATTGCTTATTTGTGGGTTTTGACAAAACTCTTTTCAAATCTTTAATCTTAGAATTTCATCTATCAATGAACAAACTTTTGACATGGTTTTGTAAGTTGATATTCATTTGTATCTTCTATTTTATTGTGTTGGTTAGTAGCATGAGTAGGATCAATACGGTATTGCAAGGATGCGTGATAATAGTGATGAAGAACGATGTTCACATCCATTTGGCAGATTAGTTGAATACATGTAAAAAGGGTTTAGCATATGTACGTATTCTGATCATTGTGTTTAATATGAAGCAATCATTTATCTGATATGAGTGTCGTCTTTGTTTACCTGATTATCTTTGATTTGAACCGCTATAGACATATACTCTTTAGATCTGGATCTAGGATGATTACTTGTTAGGTCCTAAACTCTAGACATAGATTTAGGCTTAGCATTTGCGTGAGTATCAGTTCTTAATGCTCTGTGTTGGTTTTGTTGCGTGAGACATCACTAATGAGACAATACGGTTGTTCTCTCGACATTGCGTTAGAAATAACCTCTGTTGTGGGTGATACGTGAGGATATTAGACGATTGATTGAGTTGTCTTTAACATGATCAGAAGAATGCATGTGTTATCAATTGATGAGATCCAACCCCAACAAGGTTTCGTTTATAATTCAGTCTTTACTTTATATTTTCCGTCTTTATACTTTCTGCCTTTATTTATTGTTCCGTGAATCTTTTAACCAAAACTTTTGCATAACAAGCTTAGAAATGTAGAGACCGTTGAACGAGATCGTTCATACTAATCCCTGTGGAGACGATATAAATCTCGGAGGAAATTCCTTCAAAACTAAGTTTTTGCTTCTTGCCGCTTTACTGTAGTTTGAACAACAAGTTACTCAAAACCAAAGATCTTTTTCTCTTATGTGGAACCAATTAATGTTAAGTAATAAACATTATCTCAACCTAAATGGTATCAAACAATTCAAGTAGAATATGATGCACATATATCAAACTAAACTTGGATACTTACCAATCTTCCACCTCAAAAAAATCAGTTGGCTATAAATGGATGTTCAAAGTGAAGGAAAATTTAAATGAGGCTATTAATAAGTACAAAGCAAGGTTAGTAGCCAATACTATATCAACAGTTTGACTTTGACTTCAATGAAATTTTTCTCAATTTTTAAAGCCAACTACAATTAGGGTTATACTTACATTAGCTCTCACATACAAGTAGAATCTTCAACGAATAGACACAAATATTGTCTTTCTCAATGGATCCCCCTACAAGGGAAAGTTTACATGTCACAACCACATAGTTTTTCACATCAAGATTAAAATTTAGTATGCAACCTAAATAAATCACTTTATGGACCCAAGAAAGCCCCAAGAGCATGGTATGAGAAATTCATTCAATTTGTTTTCTATCATAGCCGATGTGATTATTCATTATTTGTTATTTATCATAGTCAATGTGATCATTCATTGTTTGTCTACTTTCATCAAAGCATAACCCTTTATGCACCAATGTATGTAAATGAAATACTCATCAAGGTTCCTCATCAACTCTAGTTCACAATCTAATAAGTTATCTTCATGCCACACTCTTTTTAAAAAATTAGGTGGGCCCGAATACTTCTAGGGGGTAGAAGTTAAAACACTAAACAATGATTCCTTGCTACTCACACAATCCAAATACATCAAGGACTTGCTAACTTGAGTGAACATGAGCAATGCAAATGGTCTACCAACTCCATGTTGACTAATTGCAAGAAGACCAAACATGACTTTAATGTTTTCTTTGATCCTCGTTGTATAGGTTCATGTTTGTGCTCTTCAATATGCCACCATAACTAGATCAGACATTTGATTCTATGTGAATAAGACATGTCAATTTATGTCTTCTCCTTTGGAGTTACATTGGTCTATTGTAAAAAATAATTTGAGATACCTTAGTGGAACCCTAGCACCTTGCCCGCTTCTATCTTCATCTCCCTCAACATACAAGTTTTTCTTGAGAGCCTAAAGTAAATCTAACCTGGCAAATGATCCAAATGGCCGCAGAACAACTTCTAGATCTTGTCTTTACTTTGGGCCTAATTAACCTTTTTTCTTGGAGTTCCAAAAAGTAGCATGGCACAAATGTTAAATAGCAAGTCTTAACACACACCACTTCAAAACTTCTATGGGTAGAGTCATTGCTAACTAAGTTTGTTATTTCCTTCTTATCACCTACATTCTTAAGTGACATTGTGAGTGCAGTGTTTCTTTCCCACAATCTAATCTTTTATTTAGGTATCAAACACATTGAATTTCATATATATTTTGTGAGGGAGCGGGTTATAACTAGTGTCGGCCCTATGTCTATGCAAGCAGTGTCATAACACACGGCCTTAACAATTTTTGGACCTCATCATTTTAATTCCAAATACATTAAATAAGTTCTATATATTTTACTTCTGCCAACTAATATTAAATGTTGCCAAGTGGCTCAGCGACTCAGTAGTTAAGACTTTTGAAGGAGGTCTCAACACTTTTTTATTTAATTTATCAATTTTAGAAAAATAACTTGTAAAGATGAACGGTTTGGAACCTATTATCAAAAATTCAGAATAATGCAAGTTTTTATCCTACATCAACGGGATTACTTTACACATTATTAACTTCTTTTTTTTTTACTTCTAACGTCTATCATTAACTCAATATAAAATTTTTACACTTAATACATTTCAATTAAATCCTACATCAATCCACCTTTAATCATTTTAAAAAGATAATTGTTTAATATATTATAGGTATATTAGTTCAAAATAATCTAGATCTTTATCCTATATCAATTCACCTTTAATTATTTTAGAAAGATAATTGTTTTATATATTATAGGTATATTCTTAATTTTTTATTTTGTATTGTTAAAAGTAATTATGATAGTAAATTTGGGTTGGTCAATCAGCTCATACCTTCGTAATTAAATATTTAAAATTTTATATTAGATCAACTCAATTGTTTATATATATATATATATATATATATATATATATATATATATATATATATATATATATATATATATATATATATATATATATATATATATATATATATATAATCTTTTCAAAATTATTGTTATATTTTATTTTATAACTATATATATAATAAATTAATTTGATAGATTTAAGCCATTAAAACTAAATACTTAATAAATTAAGTTTAGGTTAAAAATATTTGTAATTTAATGCCTAATTTATTATTTAAAAACTTTTATAATATCTTTCACTAACTCTTCTTTCTTTATGATATTATAGTAATTCTTAATAAACTCTATAAATATTTTTAATGAGAAATATTAACATCTTATTCATATATTTGTATGAGTAAATTTCAAAGTATGTCACTACAAGTGCAATTACATTTTCAACATAATTTGTCTCATAATTATAAAAATAATCTCAAAATATAAAATTGTAAATATTTGTATTTCTTTATGATTATAAATTATCCCATGTTACGATTGATCCAAAATCTCTAAACATGACAAAAACTACGTAAATAAACAAGTTCTATAAGAAGAAGAAAAATCGAAAATAATAATTATATGATTTAAATTTCAGTCAAAATATTTATTAATAATTTTTTTATATTGAAACATATTTTAAAATTAGAATGGCATCTCCAAATTATTTATAGTCGAGTAGATGTTGATCCAATATGTTCTAAACACGGAATTTAATTAAAAATCACACATTCTCCTTCGGTTAATGCATTTTGTGAGCTAAATATGTAATTACCTTTCTCAATTTTGCACTAAATGCAGTATCCTGTAATCAATTGTGACTGCAGATAATCCAGATCCTCCAAACACCGCTCAAATTTCAGTCTCACTAAATCTCTTGGGAAGTGCAACACTCCACGATCTTCAGAGCTTGTGGGGAGTATTATAGAAGTAGAACTCTAGTGTGTATACGAGCCTTATGATAGCTATATGATTGTATGCCTTAGGCTAGTATTGAAACTGATATAAGAATAGTAGTAGGAACTAATGATGTAAATGTATTTTTGTTTAGTTTTCGCATAACTAAGCATTCATTGAAACAAGAACAAGAACTAATTAGTTATTTATTTATACATTAACATCATCATCATAGATCTCTTACAGGCAAACCACAAAAAGTGTGAACATTACAACAAAGATAAGACAAGTACGAATTTAAAGTAACACAGTAATAGAACTTGTTTGTGAGTTCAGCTCGAAATTTCAATGGACTTAACATCAGGCTTCTTGACTTGTTCTTTTGGAACAGTCACAGTTAGAACACCGTTCTCCATTGAAGCTTTCACTTCACCCATTTTGGCATTCTCAGGCAATCTGAATCTCCTCATGAACTTTCCACTGCCGCGTTCAACGCGATGCCATTGGTCGTTTTTGTCTTCTTTCTCAACGTTCCTCTCTCCGCTTATCTGAAGAACTTTATCATCTTCAATCTCAACCTTCACTTCCTCCTTCTTCATTCCAGGGAGATCAGCCTTGAACACATGTGCTTCTGGGGTCTCCTTCCAATCCACTCTTGTGCTCACAAAAGCAGAATTCTCCCGAGGGAATGAAGAAGAAAATGCAGAACTTGGAAATGGAAAATCCTTCAAGGGATCCCAAACGTCGAGGGAGAATGGATCGTATACGTTGCTCCTTCGGCCATCAGAGAAACTTGGAATCAAAGACATTTTTGAGGTAATTGAAAACTCAGTAAATTTAGAATTGGAAGGAATAGATTAGATATCGATGCTTAACGTGAATCACATTTTTGAAAAGCTGAGGGTATTTAAAGGAGATGGAGGAGTAATCTTGTTTTATCGAGAAAGTTCTGTTTATCAAACCATTTTTGTAACCAACCAGGTATGGAAATATCGGAACCATTCTAGAGACAGTGCCAGAATGGAAAATAGATTTAACACTTCACCAATAAAAGTGTTATTTAACAATAAAGTGCTCTTTAATATCCAATAAAAGACAGGCTATGATTTATTATTGAATAAATCCTAGTCCATCTTTTGTTGAATAAAAATAAAGTAAATTCTTAAAATTTATGGCTTTTAGTTGAATACTGGTATTTTTAATAAAAATTAATTTAATTTAAAATAAAATAAAAATGTAACAATGATATGTATTTTTGGGATCTATTCTTTGCCAAATTCTTTAAAGTTTCTATCCGTAGGCTTCTAAAATCAATTTATTGAGTATTTAGTTGTGACCATAGAGAGGGTGTATATATATATATATATATATATATATATATATATATATATATATATATATATATATATATATATATATATATATATATATATATATATATATATATATATATATATATATATATATATATATATATATATATATATATATATATATATATATATATATATATATATATATATATATATATATATATATATATATATATATATATATATATATATATATATATATATATATATATATATATATATATATATATATATATATATATATATATATATATATATATATATATATATATATATATATATATATATATATATATATATATCCTTAACAATCAATAATTTATAATACTTTTTTTAGAGATAAAATATTAACTTAATTTTAGTACTAACGGATAGCCAAATGAATCGTTGATAAATATATAATGGATTATTTATTTTAGATTTATATATACACCGACAATATAAATAATTTTTATATTATCAGTTAATCTAAATCGCTGATTTATTTAAAAGATTTAACTTTTATTTTAAGCACATCAAAAATATTATATACGAATGATTGTGATACATTGACAATATAAAATATTTTACACTGATAGTGCAAAATAATTAATCACTTATTTTTGTTAAAACAAATTCATTCACATATATTAATACTCCGTACCTTGTTTACGAGAGATGTGGTATGACCACCACATTATCAATACAACTTTTGATATAAAGGGTTGGTCTCTAAGTCGAATCATCAACTCTAATACTCTGATAAGTCATTAAATGAGTGTCTACATTGAATTAACAACAATCACACATATCAAATTATCATCTAAAATATTTAAGACATTAGATTTATAAGTTCTCTCACTTATATATCATTCAACTTTTGTTATTTTATGAAATGTTAGTCTTTCCTTACACATGCCAAATCTTTTGTTATATTTAAGAACAAAATGATGATCGAAAGGGTTCGCCTAAGGATGTATTGCGGCAGAGCAAGGTTTTGATGCAGTGGAAAAGGACTGATCTGCAAGGTTAGAATACCTAAAAATGACGTGCTCATCTCCTTTAAATCAGAGAGTTTATTGGTAACTGAAATGTGCATGTGAGCGTAAGACACAAATATTCGTTAGATGGATTTGGATGGTAGATATATGTCTTTTGAGGAGAAGACTAGAGAATGCATGACTCTGAATTCGCCCATCCAAACTCTTTAATCTGTTGTTTCTCAGTGTTGGACCTTTATGCTTCTTTTTCCCCTTTGGGCGGCCTAGAACATTGGCCCTAAGAGCTTTTCTTCTGTCATGGAAGGCAAGGGTTTTACAATTAATGGTGTTATGTGTTGGAACAAAATTGGTTTGTACCATATCTCTATGGTTTTGATGATAACAAGGTATTTATAGAACAATTTGGTATACTAATAAATGTTTAAGTTTGCAAGACCATATACTAAATTTTTTGATATAAACTTAGTACCGGTATTGAAAATAAATATTTAAAGAGAAGTTAAAAGATTCAAAATCCGAAGGATCAGAACCTGAGAACCAGACTCTGAAGGAGGTTAACTTCTGAAGGCTAGACTCTGAAGAAAGTCAGACTCTGGAAGAGGTCAACTTCTTCTGAAGTTCTCAGACTCTAAAGAAGGTCAACGTGAGGATTAAGAAGAATTTGATAGGTCACTATTAGACTCAAAGATCATCTTTTCTTCTTTTGGTCACGTTCCAAACAAAAATTTGCACTGACAGCTAGGATGTAACATATAATTCCTCTTGAAGCAAAGGGAATTCAAATGTATTTTCAACGACATTAACTGTATCAAGTAACATTCCAACTTCTAAGCTTCTCCAAGTCTCACTTGTGCTAGCTCTTCTCTTCAAGACTATTTTTTGTCTCTCTATATAAGGAGCTGAAGACTTGAACAAAGAAAATCAATCCTTGACAATCAAAAGAGTTGTTTCTCTATCAAACCAAAAGCATAAGTTTGACTTAAAATTATAAATTCATAAGTATTAAGAGTCTTATTGAGTTGCATTTTGATTACACCTCTTATTGTATATCAAGTGTAAGAATCAAACAATCTTTTATCTGTAAGTTAGATTGTTAGAATTCTTTTGCTTGTGTGATTGAGCATCTGAAGTATCTTGCTTGTGTGCTTAAGAATTATAAGTCTCTTACTTATGTGCTTAAGTATTGAAAGTCTCTTGCTTGTGTGTTTGATTATTTGAAGTCTCTTACTTGTGTGTTTGAGCATTGGAAGTATCTTGCTTGTGTGCTTGAGCAATCGTAATCAGTAGCAATTATAGTAAAATCCCTTGGAAGTGCAATGGGACTGGACTACTCTCATTTAGTCGGAGGAATCAGTATAAACTTACTGTGTGTCTCTTTTTCTTTCACTCTCTACCTCTAAACTTGTTTTTATCTGCTGCAAACACTTGACTCTTTATCAGATTCTAGACTTTGAATTCATAATCTAATAAGAGATTTTTAAAAAATAAAGAAAAGGCTAACACAATTCAACCCCCCTTCTTGTATTTTTCTCACATTCAGTAGGCATCAAAGCAAGGACATGACTCTAAACACTCAACAATGGTACAAAAAAGATCCTGAGATAAAAACATGTCTGATAACTCTAGGGGTACTGGTGGTAATGGTGGTAACAATGCTATGAGTTATGATTATAGTGCTTCTGAGAAGAAAAACTATACTGCTAAACCTCTAACCTTCAGTGGAGATTCTATAGAGTTTGAATGGTGAAAAAGTAAGATGTACACTCACATCATAAGTATTGATGATGAGTTATGGGAAATTTTTGAAGATGGTATTGATATTCCAGTTGATGAAGTGGGAATGGTTGTTGATAGAAAAAGTCTCACACCTACTCAAAAGAATATCTATAGAAAACATCACATAGCAACCAAGAACAAAGACAGCATAATGTAAAAATAACATAAGTTAACTTCAAAATAAACACTACATATATAAAAGTTAATGTTAACATACATTTAACATTACTTTAATTAAAAAGTGGTGGTTTAGGACGTCACAACATCTTTAAAATATCTTTAGTTGATCTTACAATTGTTGCATCCACTTCAATCGTACCCTTTGTTGAGTAACGGTAAAAGATACTCCACATAACCTTTAAATCATCATTCGTCTTCAGTTCAAGCATGATGAAGCGTATATTTCATTCGTTGTCAATCGAGGATAAACGGTACTCGAATTTAACAACTCTGCAATTTTCTAGAAAGAGTAATTCACTAAATAAATTGTTCTTGACCAACCCATAAAGGAGGTCCAATAGTTATTTGATTTAGAGTTATATATAGGAAAGACTAAAGGTACATAGACTATTTGATACATTATTTTCATACTTTACTGTTATTCAACAAGCATCAAGCAATGAACTAAAAACCAATGAGGTTTAAAGTCCTAACTTTTAGATTAGAGACCTAATTTGCATACTTTTTGTTATAGTGTTTTTGACCATTTTCTCTTTTTTAAAGAATATAATGTGTTTTTCATGGTGGTACAATCAAGAGGTAGAAATTTGGATTATGATGGTTAGACTAAAGTTGCACGTAAGACTCCAAATCACCATCCATGAGTAACTAATTCTCGTTGGGACTCTTTTAAAGGAAAAGTTAAAGTTACGGAGGAGGTAACATCAGACTTTTCTTTACTCGTTTTCCAAACTCACATGATGTGAAGAAGATGTTTAACGTTTTCAAAAATTATGGTACTCTTGATGAAGTTGTTCTCCCTCCAAAAAGGAATGAGAAAGGAAAAAGTATGGTTTTGTCATATTTAAAAATGTGGATAATGTTAGAATGATGGTTGTGGCCTTGGATAATATCTTCATAAAAGACAGTAAGTTATATACCAACATCCCATAATTCAAAAGGGATGGGATTTGTCACAAGCAGGAGTTTGAAATTGAAAATAACATGAAATCTGAAATTAATAAGAACACCTATAGTACGAACAAGGGTAATGATGGCCTGTGCTTGGAAAGTTGAAAAACAGTGAATGTTAAAATGAGGACGAGACAAAACTGGCCTGCAGGCACAACACCTATTTAACACAAAAATTTATATTAATATCGCTTCTGCAATAGTCTAAAAAAATAGAGTTGAGAAGAATATATATATATATATATATATATATATATATATATATATATATATATATATATATATATATATATATATATATATATATATATATATATATATATATATATATATATATATATATATATATATATATATATATATATATATATATATATATATATATATATATATATATATATATATATATATATATATATATATATATATATATATATTATAGGGTTAAATATGATTTTTTGTTTTGGTCTCGGTAAAAAATAGCGTGTTTTGGTCCCTACAAAATAATTATGCATGTAGTTTTAGTCCCTACTGTTAAACCAATATGTATTTTTGAATGATTATTTTACAGATATGTTTAAAACGTTATAAAAAGCTTCTCAAAACAAAAAAAAAATTCAAAATTTGATTTATAAGTCAAAATTTTTATTACTTTTATCATTATATTTTGAAATTTAAAAAATTTATATTTAATTTTTCTCATTTTAAAAAATTATATAATTTAGTAAGGAATAGTAATCTAAACACATATGAAAAAAATTATTTAAAAATTTAAAAATAATTAAATAGTTTTTAAAATTTTAAAAAATAGCAAAGATTAAAATTGTATGTATAAAATGTGAGATATTTATAGAAAATAAAAATATATTTAACTCTACATTAAAAGGTTCATATCTAAAACCAAACTTATATTGCAAAAAGTAAAAGCAAAAGAGACATGTCTAATATCCCGGACTGAATTATCACCTCTATTGACAGCTATTGGAAAAAAATGTTAGAAATTTATATATTTGAATTTACACATTATTATATGTCTACTAGTTGTTACTTATTAATTAAATAATTAATTAGTTAGTGGTTAATTGATAGTTTTGTTGAGAGTTAGATAGGATAAATAAGACATATTTACCTAAAAATTGATAGGAGGATTAAAAGGAGATCATATATTACATAGCAATTTGAGATGAATATAGTCTTATGGCATTGGGAAGTAGATAAATCCTTATATATTGTGTTCTTATCCTAATTCAGATAGATCCTTGTATGAATCCCATCCTAACTGTACAAGTCTTCATATAAGGTTTTTCTTCAAAAATTTTACCAACTAAAAATGATGGGAATAAAATTGCATTTTTAGTGGAATTTTTTTTTTATAAGAACGGGAATAAAATTGCATTTTTAGTGGAATTTTTTTTTATAAGAACGGGAGTAAAATTGCATTTTTAGTTGGCAAAAAAATTTGAAGAAAAACCTTACATGAAGACTTGTATAGTTAGGTTAATGAAATTGAATATTTAATTAATTAATTATTTATTTATTTAAATGGTTTGAATTTTATTATAAATAATTTATACTGAATTTTGTTTTTATTTAATCCAATTTTAAAAAAACATTGTTTAATCCTTTCTAGAAAAATAAAATTCTTTCTTGAATAATATATACAGTAAAAGGATTTAGATTTTTTATAAAACTGTTTTTAATTTTTAAAATTTAAAAATAATAAAATTTATTTAGTAGGCTAATTTTACAAAACTGTTTATACAACAAATTTGTAATTTATATATATATATATATATATATATATATATATATATATATATATATATATATATATATATATATATATATATATATATATATATATATATATATATATATATATATATATTGTCAACATGTTTTGAAAATTAACTTATAAAATAATTCTTAAAAATTAAAAATTAAAATTCATTGGCCATTATTTGTAATCATGGGAGTTTTTCTCACCAGTTGATTCTTTCACTTTAATCAAGCCATTTGGCTGAGAAACATATTTTCAATCAATTTTCAATACCAAATTCATATAATCATATTTGTCTACAAACTCACATTATTAAGTATTACATGATCAAATTATTTTGTTATGGAAATTCAAAGAGAAGGTGAATGGTGAAGTCAACCTTACTTTATTTTACAACATTCAATATCAAAGTGTTATTTAGAGTTTGAGATTTAAAATTTGTGCTAAAGCTGAAGATTAAAGCATTTTTTCGTCTGCTCTTTATGCAAGCTCTATTTATAGCAGCTCTTGTTTAATTTTCATTCAACTAAACATTCATTATGATTCATTATAATATGAATACAAACAACAACCAGAAGAATGAACAACACCTCTTTACTATTTTATTACATCACCATGAGGTCAGTCTAAGTTCAACCAGAGATTTCTATGGATTTAACTTCAGGCTTCTTGATCTCTTCCTTAGGAACAGTGACGGTAAGAACACCGTTCTCCATGGAAGCTTTCACTTGATCCATTTTAGCATTCTCAGGTAATTTGAATCTCCTCAAGAACTTTCCACTACTACGTTCCACGCGATGCCATTCATCGTTCTTGTCCTCTTTCTCAACGTTCCTCTCTCCACTTATCTGAAGAACTCTGTCATCTTCGATTTCAACCTTCACTTCCTCCTTCTTCAGCCCTGGAAGATCAGCCTTGAAAACATGTGCTTCCGGGGTCTCCTTCCAGTCCACTCGTGTGTTCACAAACGCAGAATTCTCCCGAGGGAATGAAGCAGAAAGTGAAGAACCTGGAAATGGAAAATCTTTAAAGGGATCCCAAACATCGAGAGAGAATGGATCGTATACATTGCTTCTTCGGCCACCAAAGAAACTTGGAATCAAAGACATGTTAATTTGATACAGTTGAAAACTCTAAATTGAGAATTGAGTGCGAAATGATAACAATGTTTTGTGTGAATTACAACGTTCAGAAGCGCGGGTATATAAAGGAGATGAGGAAAAATCATGTATTATCGCGAAGGTGCTGTTATCTTGAAAATTCTGAAACATTCTGGAATTCTCGAGAGAAACCTTGCACGGTCTAGATAACTGTTTTGAAGCCCGAAGTGATGAATTCATTTCTTTGTTGGGCTGTAAACGGAAGTTGCATCATTGATTAATAGATAGTTTTAGCTGCCACCCACCTTTAAATCTGGCACCACCACAATTTCTTAAAATATTTAAATTATTAGGCAGTGCAAGTGAAAATTTTAGTATGAATTCGGTAGTGTATTTAAAAAGTTTGGTACGAAATTATATCAGTTTCTTTTTTTTTTTAAGTGGTGGGTGAAAATATTTTATCGATTTTTTTAAAAAACAACATTGATATTTTTTTTAAAACATTAACAATTTTGGTAGTGTAAAATAATCAATTTTTTTTAAAAGTTTATGCATTTATCAGACTTTTAGAATGACTTCAAAAAATACAGTAGTGTAATTTTAATAACTGAGATTTTGGCGACAATTTTGTATGATTGCGATTACACTGACAGTTGTGTGTGGTTCAAAATAAATCTAAATTTGTATAAATAGGGATTATGTGTTGTTAAAAAAATCTTAGAATGTCTTACTAATCGTTTATGGCAGTTGTGTATTTCAACGGGGTGAAATCTCCTGTTGATTTTGGGTTCCCGTAGGACACAACATATCTTGCTCTTCTGAGATCCAAATTGAATAATATGTTGTCTGACACCGAGAATATAAAGGTGAGTAAGATCGAGTTTCATGCACCATAGATTGATACTGATGGAAATGTGACATACGACCATATTAAGTTGAAGACTGATGAAGATTTGAAGGTTAGGTAGAGAACATATCACCATATGCTAACAAAGGGATCAATCGAGTTTGATGCAATAATGTTTAGATTTGTCGACGACATAATCAAGATGAAACGTCCAAATTTATTTAGTACTTTCTAAGTTTTATTATTTGTTATTGTTTTATTAAGTTATGTAATTGTTCGTCTTAAGTTATGTTAATTGTAATATGTTAAGTTATGTTAATCTTATAATAATGAAAGCAGCAAAATATTATCTAATGAATTTTATGGTGCAAATGTCTAAGTAATAATACAAATAATACAAAAATAATAATAATATTTACATACGTCGCCCACAGGCTATGTGTGTTGCTCCAAATTATAAACCTCACCATATGGATTTATCAAACTCATGAGGTTATCCATAATGACTATTATCATCCGCAGATGTTAATGGTCATCCACCCAGGTGGAAGTGGTGGGACGTCATCATAAGGTCCCCAATCATTGGAAGGTTCAACACTATCTGCGTGCTCAATTGGTGATATGATGTGAGGGTGTGATACATTAAGGTACCGCTTTAAGTAACTATCCACACACTATGCAGGGAATTGAACCTCTACTGTATGATTTACAATGGCATGAGCAGAGCTAACAACGTGACCCGCAAACCATATATCAACGCCCTCAGATGATACATCAGGGATTGGTCATGGTATGTCCTGGACATACTCAAATTGGCACAAACACCTCTCAGGTAAGTGTTTAGCCACTAAGGCCTTCCATCTCAGATAACAAGAAAAAAGGAAAGTATCATCAAACTTCTGATGCACTCTATGGTATGTGTATGGTGTGTAGATGATATCGTTTATAGTCATCACATTAATCCTCTTCTTGTACTCCATAAGACCTCTTGGGTGTGTGTGTCTGACCTTTCATCTCTTGGCCCTTGTGGAGCCTGTTGAATAAACTTTAATGTTATAGTTAATGAGTTTTTACTATTAAGTTAATGGAGAGTTTAAGAGTCTGTTGTAATTGGAAGGCCAAGTGATAGTGGGCAAATTAATAGTATTTTCTAATTATCAAGTTTCCTAGAATAGCTAAAGCTTGTGAGTCTATATAAAGACCAATAGTGTATTCTAATACAGCACAGAAGTTACAATAGAACTTGTTTTATTCTGTCAAATTGGCATCAGAGCTAATGGCAAACATGATGAATCAAATGCCGTTGCCACGGCTAACAAAGTTAAATTACGAAAACTGGAGTATCCAAATGAAAGCACTTCTCGGATCTCTAGACGCGTGGGAGGTGACCAAAGATGGGTTTGAAGAACCAACAGATATTGGGGGATATACGGCAACTCAAAACAAGGCGTTGAAAGAGACGCGATCGAAGGATAAAACGGCACTATACATGCTGTTTAGGGCTGTTGATGAATCAGGATTCGAAAAGATTGCCAGTTCGACTACGTCGAAAGAAGCGTGGGACACGCTAGAGAAAGTGTTCAAAGGAGCAGATCGAGTAAAGCAAGTTCGACTCCAAACTCTTCGTGGAGAATTGGAGAGGATGCAGATGAAGGAGTCAGAAAATGTATCTGACTACATAACGCGTGTACAAAAGGTGGTGAACCAACTCACCAGAAATGGCGAAACCGTAATTGATGCACGAGTTGTCGAAAAGATTTTGAGATCTTTAACAGATAAATTTGAGAATATTATGTGTGCAATAGAAGAGTCGAAGGACCTTTCGACACTCTCAGTCGAAGACCTCGCTGGTTCCCTCGAAGCACACGAACAACGAAAGATGAAAAAGAAGGAAGAAGGAGTAGAGGACGCAAATCAAACCAATGAGCAAATCAAAGACGAAAAGGTACTATTTTCTCAAAATTTTCGAGGAAGAGGACGTGGTCGTGGAGGACGTGACAGTGGTCAAAGTGGTAGAGGCAGCAATTTCGAGAGAGGACAGTCGATCCAACAAAATTGGCGTGGCAGAGGCCGTGGTCAAAGAGGTGGTAGATCGAACCATTCAAACTTTGAATGCTACAAGTGTGGCAAATATGGTCATTATGCGAAGGATTGCAACTCATTCAAATGCTATAACTGTGATAAAGTGGGACATCTTGCAAAAGACTGTCGAATCGAAAAGAAGGTAGAAGAAACAACCAATCTAACTTTGGAAGCTGAAGCAAATGAAGGTTTTCTCTTGATGGCTCAAAATGAGATCAACACAAATGACAATGTTTGGTATCTTGACTCAGGAGCAAGTAACCATATGTGTGGTCACAAACACTTGTTCAAAGAAATGAGAAAGATTGAAGATGGAAATGTGTCTTTCGGAGATGCATCGAAAGTGAAGGTCGAAGGAAAGGGAACGATCTGTTACTTGCAGAAAGATGGGTTGATTGGATCAATTCAAGATGTTTATTATGTACCAAATCTCAAAACCAACATCTTGAGTTTGGGACAACTTACAGAAAAAGGTTATTCGATACTTATGAAAGAACGAATACTGCATTTGAAGGACAAGCTGGGACATCTGATTGCTCGTGTCGAAATGGAGAGAAATCGAATGTACAAACTGAATCTGATAAACGTTCGAGAAAAATGTTTACAAGTAAATGTAGAAGACAAAGCGTCACTATGGCATCTACGCTTTGGTCATCTACATCACGCTGGCTTAAAGAGATTGGCGAAAAGGAACATGGTGCATGGACTACTAGATATGGATTATGAAGGAAAGTTCTGTGAAGAATGTGTACTTAGCAAACAAACAAGAACCTCATTTCAAAAGAAGGCAGAATATCAGGCTAAGCATATCCTTGAATTGATTCACACCGACATATGTGGGCCAATCACGCCAGAATCTTTCAGTAGCAAAAGATACTTTATTTCCTTTATCGACGATTACTCACGGAAGACATGGGTTTATTTCTTGAAAGAAAAGTCTGAAGCATTCGAGGTGTTCAAAAGGTTCAAAGTAATGGTAGAGAAGGAAACCGACAGACACATTAAAGCAGTTTGATCAGATAGAGGTGGTGAATATACTTTGACATCCTTTATGAAGTATTGTGAAGAGCAGGGTATAAGGAGATTTCTAACTGCAGCATACTCACCCCAACAAAATGGGGTGGCTGAAAGGAAAAATCGAACAGTCCTTGACATGGTTCGTTCAATGCTTAAAAGCAAGAACATGCCAAAGGAATTTTGGGCAGAAGCTGTAAAATGTGCCATTTACGTTCAAAATCGATGTCCACATTCGAAGTTAGAAGATAAAACACCACAAGAAGCGTGGAGTGAACAGAAGCCAACAGTTTCTCATCTCAAAGTATTTGGAAGTGTGGCTTATGCACACGTACCAGATCAAAGAAGAACGAAGCTTGAAGACAAAAGTAAGAAATACATACTCATTGGGTATGATGAGAAAACAAAAGGGTACAAGCTATTTGATCCCATAAGAAAGAAGGTGATAGTGAGTAGAGACGTTCGAATAAACGAAGCAAGTAAGTGGGACTGGAACAGTTCGACAGAAGCTACTGTCGAAGTTGAAGAATCATCTGTCGCCGTACCACCAAACATTTCGACAAACATTGAAGATTCTGACAACGAAGATGAACCTCTACAACCTAGAATGCGAAGTTTGCAAGATTTGTATGATTCGACAAGTGAAGTGCACCTTGTATGTCTCTTGGCAGACGCTGAAAACATTAGTTTTGAAGAAGCAGTACGAGACAAGAAATGGAAAACTGCCATGGACGAAGAAATGAGGGCGATTAATCACAACAACACTTGGGAGCTAGTTGAATTGCCAAAAGGTAGTCAACCCATTGGTGTAAAGTGGGTATTCAAGAAAAAGATGAACGCTCAAGGAGAAATAGAACGATACAAAGCGAGACTTGTTGCGAAGGGATACAAACAGAAAGCAGGAGTTGATTATGACGAAGTATTTGCACCGGTCGCAAGAATGGAGACAATTCGACTACTCATATCTCAAGCTGCTCAGTTCAAATGGCCAATATTTCAAATGGATGTCAAAACAGCTTTTCTGAATGGAATACTCGAAGAAGAAATCTATGTTGAACAACCACTC